ATACCTTTGAAATGCCTTTAGACAATTTCACAGAGAACATAAAGAAACTTTTTGTAAAAAAAAAAAAGTTATAGAAACTCCCCTATGATAACTAGTAGTTAATACAATCATATACATACTTTTTTAAAAAAACTAGTACATGTTTGCAGTGCCTGCCGTTTAGTCATCTTGGGAACTGAGTACAGGTACATAATGCAGCTTGTTTCTTTTATTCATCCCCTTCCCTTACTCACTCAACTCTCTCCCTCCTCTAATTTCCTCATTTTCATTCTTGTGGATAATATAATCTTACCTTATACTTATGATATGTTTATCCTCATTTAGGTTATCAGGTATCTGTACATGGCATATCTTTATTTATCACCCCCTCTCCTCTCACCTACATTCTGCTGGACCTCTTCTCAACTGCAAGAGGGCTATCCACTTTGTCTCCTTCTATCCATCTTTTAGGGCTGTTTGCCCTTTGCCTTACTCAAGTGAGAGATACTATGCAGTACATAAGCTTGTGCATTTGATTTATTTCACTCAATATTGTATTTCCCACACGTATCCTTTTTCCTACAAAAGTCTTTGAATAAAAAAAGTAAAGGTAAATTAGAAGAAAAAAATACACGAACACCATTGTTAAATTTGTGATACAATAATCAAAAATAAAAAGATCAAGACAAAAAATTTAAATGCATGCTGAGTGAAGCTATGTAGAACAGAGACAGTTGTTGTGCTGTCTACATTCTCAGGCTCCCACAGGTCCAGTCTATGCTGATAGTTTCACATAAGCATCTGTAACTCTGCTAATCACTGTGCTCCAACCACACAGCATCCAGCGCCAGAGTTAGTAAAAAGTAGCTCACAATGAGTAAATGATATAAGTTGGCTGAAAATCATGCCAACTTCCTCACTCTTGTACAGAACTACAGTACAAGAAACTTTTTATACTAGTTAGTCGTCTCCAATGGGACTATGCCAGCTGTCTAGTAAATTGTTCATTTACACACTTTGTATTATTTTCCTTTCATTCCCAGTTTCAATTTCCCACTCTCTGATGTGTGCCTCTTGAGACAGTTCCTGGGGAAACTCCAATCCTTGCCTCAATGCTTTGGAGCAAACTCAGCCTAAAACATGCAGTGCCGACTGTTTACAGTCAGTCATCTTGGGCAATGGGTACGGGTACATAATGCAGCTTGTTTCTTTTCTTCTAGATTAAAAGGAGAAGAATCTACATGAATATTCACTGGGTTGGCACTCAAAATGGTGCAATCCTGAGAAATCTTAAGATTTCTTCTTAATCTTTATTTATAAATGACACTGCCTACACTATGTTTCAAGTTAGGGAAACAGAACTGGTCCTAAAGCCTATGACTTCTGATGTCTGTATCTCATTCATCTGCACATGTACAACTATATTCCTCTTCCAAATTCAAACTGAAATATTTCAAGACACTTTCACCAGCACAAAGCTAAAATTATAGTCTGATGAACGCAGGTTACAAACGGCCAAGGACATTACACATTCATTTATGTCTTTTTTTAGGCCACCTAAGAAAATAATTCCCTTAAATATAAATTAATATAAAAATAATGCACTGCTACAGAAGAAAAACAGTAGTGTAGCAGATAGAGCCAAAGTGCCCACCACTCACTCACTGTCTCATATCCATGTCTTTTCTCAAGTATCTTTTTATTTCCATAATGTTTTCATTGCATTTATAAAAAGTAAAGCTATCATTTTTACATTAATAGCTATTATGCTACACTTATTGTTACAACTTGCTTTAAGCAAAAGAAGTTATAATTTCTTCCCCACACAAACATAAATGCAGCCATCTTCCTTAAAATCATAAAACAAATCAAATTCTTAAATCGAGGTATCACTGTACTTAAAAAAATCAACTAACACTTAAAACATATTCCTCTTGCTAACACTGGTTTCTTGCCTCATTGTCATGCTTTATTATGTTTTATTATGATATTAGGCAATTTTGGATAAAAATTATTAACTTAGAGATCTCTACTTCAAAAAATCTCTTGCTCAAGGCAGCAAAAAAAAACTTCTTTCTAAAGGCAACAATAACAATAAACAGGTCTAAATACAGACACTGTCCTAGCAACACCAATGATCTACTAGATAATGAGGCACCAACAAAGAGGGGGAGTTATAGGTGGAAGGATTTAAACCACTTCCATCATCACTGGACCCTAGGATGACAGCTGTTGTGAAGCAGTAACCCTCAGATCCAACTTCACTGTGAAGGCTGCTGAGTGTGCCAGCAGAGGTTCTCGTCAGCATGAGTCATCACCTGAATTCCTAGCAGCCCTTAGGCAATGATGGTGGTCTAAGAACCACTCATTCAGTCCTAACCAAGACTAAAGACTGAGGACGTCAGTGAAAGATGAAAATGTAGAATGGTACAGGAAACAGAGCTGATGTCAGAGACTGTGTTATGAATTGCTCATCCCATTCTCTTCTTCTCATCTTCACTTCTCAAAAGGGCTAGGTCCTACTGTTGCTCTAGGCCAATTTTACCTGGGTCCTGCCAAACCTCAGGAAATAACTAAGATGCTGCAGCTCTCTCTTTACTGTAGAGGTGGCACTTCATGGGAGTAGAGAACGGACTGTTTAATGAATGGTACTGGCACAGACTTCCCATATGTGGACAAAAATATCAAGTTGGATGGTACCTCAACCCTACAACCACCATAAAAAAAAGACTAAAAAGTAGATTAATGACTAAAAGATGAACAATAAAGTTTTTAAGAGACAAAAAAGATAATCTTGGTGGTCGTATGGTAGGGGAAATTTTTTTAAGACAAAACACCAAATTAAGATACCATCAAAGATACCATCTTTGTACATCAAAGATACCATAAAAAGAACAAAAAAGAGAAGCTATAGAGTAGGAGAATAACTACAATTCATTTACAACAAAGATCCAGTATCAAGAATATATATTACTTACAACTGTCACAAATTAATGAAAATAAGACATTAATCCAATAAAAAAACAAGAAGGAAAAATCAAGAGAATAAGTACTCCACCACTGGGAAATATATCTAAGGGGAGTAAATATTCTTGAAAGAATTCAACCTTAAATAGTTAGGGAGCTGCAGATTAGAATCCCAAACAGCACTACATGGCTATTAATTCCAAGAGTGAAAAATATGATGATACCAAGTGTTGACAATAGGATAAACTTAATATACCAGCAAAACAGTGTTAGATGGACAAACTGCCATATACATATTCTACTGACTCCTAGATATATACCCTAAGACTATTCTTCTGTGTGCCAGAATGTCAAAGAACATTTAATAAAATAATTTACAACAAGGGAAATAAATGGATTAAAGATAAATGGAACATGAATAAACTGTACAAAATAACGCTGAGTGAAACACATGCACACAAAATACATACAATATCGTCTATAAAAGTTTAAAACCAGGCAAACAATTCTTATTGTTTTAGATCCCACATACACTGGCAGTATTAAAAAGCAAGGATATTATCATTGTAAAAGTCAGAATATTGGTTAATTGAAAAGGATGATCATACAAGAATAAGTGATGGGAAACTTGGGTTGCTAATTATGTTCTATTTATATGTGAGCAGATTTTACTAGTGTCTGTTCTACAAGTATATGTTAAACTATACATATGATATTAATGATGTCATACTTTAAAATTTTAAGGCAAGATGTTAAAACACAAAACAAATGTATTTGGTCCTGTAACCCAACTGATCTTATTGAAAGTTTGACATATCTTAAACGTAACATCAAATTCCTTTGTCCATCCTAAAATTTGTGCAATTTCCTCAAACAAATTCCTCTCTATTCTCCATTCTATTTGTCTAGTAAATCCTAATGATGTCATGAGAAATAAACAACTTAAGAGTTGTGCCATACCATAAAGAAAATAAGCAGAACACAGGTATCCCTGTCCCAGTTGCAAGGGTTTCTGACTTTTACTTATTGAGTGTTCCTAAATTGAGAGGTTGATTCTGCAATTGATTTATTCTATGTTTGGTTGTTTACTTATTTGTAGTATGGAGGATTGCAACCATGGCACTGTGTATACTAGGCAAACATTTTACCACTAAGCTACATCCTCAGTCTTTTTTAGTTTTTGATTTAGAGTCAGGGTTTCACTAAAATCCCCAGGCTGGACTTGAACTCTCCATCCTCCTGTTTTAGCCTCCATGAGCTGTTAATTATAGGTGTGTGTCACCAGCATAGTTTACCAAGCTTATTAAAAATAAATGAAAAGAAGAAACACGAGACATAGTTCCAAAAAATAAAAAATGAAAAACAAATGCATGGATTAAAAACTTAATATATAAAAATAAGAAAGGAAAATCTTTGCTACAACAAAGACACATAAAAAGTAAGATTGGTTAAGGATGGTGTTAAGAAGAAAATGTATCGTTACAGCACTACTTTTTTTAATGTGAAAGATAATTCAATCATATTTAAATCAAAAACTTCAAATCTGATTTTAAAATACTTGTTACAATGTCACTAATGATTATTCACTAATAATGTGGTAGAATATTTGAACAATAAGAACAGTGATATATATTTTCATTCCATAAAAGGTAAAAATTATCTTTCTCCCTTAAGAGTAGACTCATTCAGTCAACTCCTATTCAGGACCAATGTTTTGTACAAATCACTAATTCAAATCCATCAAACTCCTATATGCAGTCATTTATCTAAATCAAATGTTTTCTATCATGAAACTATACCTTATAAAGCATTAAAACTCAAAGATCTACATCATAACTATATAAACACTGAATATTACTAGCTATGGCTTGGTAGGAGCACCTATCACTATGGCCTTTGGTTGCCCAAAAAATAAATTTCTTACGTAACATTTGAATAGAAATAACTCTTGCAGTCTAAAATTCTGTAACATTATCAGATATTTTATATGCTGTATTTAAATTTTTTAAACAAGAAAATTAATTTATCTAAAAAGGCTGTAAATTTTTACTTACATATTCAGGTTTTAGTTTTTTATCTCCTCCTCTCACGGCCACTTTTTCTAGTTTATCTATTATGGGCCCAATCATTTCCTCATCTTTAAGCTGAAGCTCTTCATGAATTATTTCTATATCTCGAATGGGATCTACACTTCCTTCAACATGGGTGATATCATCATCTTCAAAAGCACCTAAAATAAATTAAAAGGAAGCAATTTATCAAACAAATAATACAGGTCATTATGATTAGAGTGAATAAAGATTTCCAGAAGGTGAACAAATAGGTACCATGAATAAATTATTCTGCAAATTCTATGCAAGTAGGATACAGTGGTTTTCTTTTTCCTCATTTAGTAAAACTTAGGACATTAGCGATGAAACAACAGCTCAAGAGCTTCCACATTTCAAAAACTAACTATAAAAACAAAAAACCATGTTCCAGAACTACTAGCATTTCCAAATTCAGCACATTAAAAGACGCTGAATTCCAGGCATGAGAGCCTGAAGTTCTAAACTGCACTATTAGGGTTTCCAAGGGAAACCAGATTTGGGGAGGCGGGGGTTGAAATCATCTGGCAGACCTCTTCCCCGCTTCAATCTACTTTATCACTGTGGCTCTGACGGTGATTAGATAATGAACCACTCAGACACACAATTTACACAGCAGCTAATTTCATCGGCCTGATTTGAGGGTATGGTTTTTAGGGGGCTATCAAAGAAGCAGATGAAGGTGCATTTGTCATATATGAGTGACAACCATTCACACTATCTGAACAAAATGGTGCTGGCCCTTATTAGAAACACATGCTATTATCACATATTTAAAGTGCAGTTGAAGCCATAATTTCAAATTGCCAACTGGAAACATAAGGGTAAAACAACCAGATATTACTGAAGCATGTGTACTGACTTTATGCCCTTTTGAAGACATAATGTGGCAACATAATTCAACCGGGATTTACTCAAATTACCAAAGAACAGTATTACTAAAAATGAACAAATAATACGAAATATTATAAGCAGAAATAATGATATAGCCAGAAAACAACACACTTATGAACAAATTAATTTCATTAAAATTAATAATTAAACTTTCCATATATTTTCTAACATAAAGTATCAACTATTTTAGATAGAGGTGTCATAGAAATCATGAGAGTTTGCTAAGACAGTGAATACAACTCATTTTTGATAGCAAAGACAAAACATTCTTGTTACATGTTACAAAAAATATTAAAACATAATTTCCCATAATTAAAAATACCTGCATCTTAATGTCAATTATTCAGCAGTAATAAAACTTAAGATTGCAATTAAGATATAAGTAATAGTTAAGTATTTTTGGTATGTAACTGATGTCAAATTTATATGAACAAATTAACTAGAAATAAAGAGGTATACTACATTTCACTAATAAACACAATAGACAGATAAGCCTGCTCTCCTAGGAAGCACATTTTTACTTCTTGTTAGGATTTGAGGCATCTTATACAAATGTCATAATAGTATGCAAAATTAAAAATAAAAGCTTCCTAGAAGTCAGAGCAACATAAATAATGAAGTTATAAGAAAAAACTAAGCTTTCTATGATACTTAGTATGAAAAATATCCTACAAAGTTGTAGAGGCCAATGATGCAGTATCAACATCTGCACAATTAGCACGTTTAGCAAGTTTTAAATGGCAATTTCTTAATTATAATACTAAATTATAATCAAGAGGATAAGACAGAAATTTAGTAATGCCAATTCTTTTGGAAGCATAGGAATTGTGTTTATTTAAAATTCTTTATCAGTTTTGTCTCAAAAACTTTTTATAATGAATACGTGTTGTTTTTACAACTGTTTTACAACTGGAGATTGAATTGAGAAACTGCTGAGCTACATTCTCATCACTTTACTTGCCCACCCTGGCCTCAGACTTGCGATCTTTCTGCTTCAGCCTCCAGAGGAGCTGGCATTACAGGTGTACACCTCCACACCCCGCACAAGCCATGTTTTCTTCAACACAACAGGTTTAGTGTTCAGAAAACCAGCATAAGTTTTTGTTAAAATTTTAGTTTTGCAGTAATTAGCCACAAGGAAAAAACCATTATTACCACAAACATTATTTTGTGCCCAATCATTTACATAAATATGAACATTAACTATTGTAAAGCTTTCTTTTTCAAATTTTATAAAGTAAAATTAACCATAAAGTAGGTTTGTGGATTCCATGACAAATATTTTTTTAAGTTTTCAATTCCTTTGTACATAATGATTACATTCATAATGAGGAGGTGATACAGGTCCACAAAACACCTTATTCTTTTCTGTTCCTTGGCCCTCCCAGCTCCTTCCCACTTGCAAAAGATCGATTTCCATTTTTTAAATTTTAATTTATCCTTTTTGGATGCCCTCTCCCTTCCCGTTCTTCATCTCCTATTCTTCTCACTTGAAAAAGATCTCTCTGCTTCCTATTATCTATCTTTTATTTTGATCTTCATTTATATCACAAAGATTTCTTACCAGCAATCCTACCATGTTTCCTTTCACAATAAAGCATATCTGCTTTTCAAAACTTAGTTTCTCTCATATTTCCTAAGCTTTCTCCTTTTCTCCTGATACTGAGCAGATAACTTACCCTTTTTCACTTCACCGGGAAAACATGTATCATCTGTAGAAAACTAGACCTTTCTTTTAATGTTACTCAGCCCGTGCTTCTCAGCAGTAAAGTGGAAAACACCATCCACTACTCTTGGTCAATCTCACTATCATCTCTGCTCTGGATCCTACTCTCTCCCATGAAGTTTTCTCTACAGCTTATTTCCTGAGACCTGAATTATGCTTGTCTCACTTGTATTTGTGTTACCTCTGTTTCTACTAATATTTGTCAATCAAAATTTGAGTAGGCTTCTACCTCTACATTAAATCCATTACGTTAGTCATCCTTGAACATTAATTCCTACCCCAGTTACTGCTTTCTTTCCTCCAGTTCAGAGCTAGTTACTTACCTATTTAGAACTCAAGCCATCTCAGTTTGGCATGTGCCTCCACTATGTTACCAGAAATCAATCTTAGAGGACCTCATTGCCATTCTTTAGAAATGACTATCCAGTAGCTGCAGAACAATGAAAGTCTCTTTCACTGCATTCTCCTTTCCTTTTCCTTCTTCTCCTTCCTCCTTCCTCCTCCTCTTCCTCCTCTTCTCTCTTTTTTTTTTTTTTTTTTTTTTTTTTGCTAGAAATTGAATTTAGGACCTTGCACTTCAGGCACTGAGCTATAAACCCCTGATTCCTTCCCTGTATTTTTCTAACCACCTTCTCCTATCTTCTGATATTTTCTCTCGTCACTTATTCTCAGATCTCCCTCCCTTCTAGCAGTGCTGGACTCAAACTCCAGGATCTCACTAGTGCTCTGCAAGCACTCTACCACTAAGTTACACTCTTGATCCCAGAGACAATCCTTTTCTTGCTGTCAGTCCCCAATAAATGTTGATGTCTCTTATCCTTCTTTTACCCTCCAACTAATAGATTCTCCAGCACAGAGCAGTCCTAAGTGGTTTTAGTATATATTAAGGCAATAGCAAATAAAAGGAACCCCTAAATATCTTTGTAGTTATATAAATCATTTCCAATCAAAATTTATTTACTAAGTGAATAAATGCAAAATATCCATGCTTATAATAACGTTGTGGCTTTTATAGGTTACATAAGCTTCTTTGTAGAGATCATTAACTTTGTAAATAACATTTGCATTCCCATATGCCACAGCATAGTCTATAGGGTATTTATTTCTTAGTTAGAGGTGGCAAAAATGATGAGTTTTCAATCATTTTCTATGATTACAAGTGACAGAAAACTGATCAATTTATTTATTCACTCAAAGCCTACCTTTTTCAATACAGATTTGAATATGAAGGGCAAAACTGTACTTTGTTTAGACATAAAATCTGTGAAAGACTTCAAAAATAAAAATATAATTTGGAAATTCAGGACTTGAGAGAACTTTGCTTTGCTGTATCCCATTTTATACTTGGGTTGTATTCAGTTTTCAGAAGCAAAACATCCTTAGCTAGCTATCAAAAGTGAATTTTAAAACACCTGATTATTATTTTTTTTTTTATCGGTACCGGGGATCAAACTCAAGACCACGTGCTTGCAAGGCAGGCGCTTATGCCGCTGAGCTAAATGCCCAGCCCCAAAACACCTGATTAGTGAAGAGTATAAGCTTCGCAGCAACATATTTATTTTTTTATTTTTGTTTAAATTTTATGTTTTTAGTCCATGTAATACGTCACATTCGTCATAGGGAATTTATTTATACCTGTACATAATATATCATAATCATTCTTTTTTTTCCCCCATTCCCCTTCCCTACCATGGTTTTTTTGAGATGGGTCTTCATTATTTATGTAGCCCAGGCTGACTTTGAATTCACAGCAATTGTGCGTCAGCCTCCTGATTACTAACATTATAGTCATGCACTACCAGACCTAGCTACAGCAATATTTTATAAACTATCTGTCATGGAAACCTTGATATACCAAATACCATGTCTAGAGTTTCCTGTGCAATATAAGGATATGTCCATTTGTATGGAATATGAGATGGATTTTTATGTTTTTTCTACTTAATGTAGAGATAAAAGAATTGTTTGTGATAGAAACTGCCACCCTCTCAACATGTTTATAAACTACAGCACATATGCCTCGCTACATCTAAGTTTCCCAACTTGGGGAATAAACAACTCCTTTGTTTATCTACCTATGTGTTAAGTCTATGAGAATCAAAAAACGAAAATCAACAAGATCTTTGGTCTTCTCTCTCTCTCTTTTTTTTTGGAGTGGGTTTTGCCATGCAGTTTAGGCCTTGAACTTCTATCTTCCTTTGTAGGCCTCTGCAGTGTTGGAATATCAAGCATGTGCTAGCACATCTAGATAGATTTGGTCTTAGTAACTGTACAAACAAACTAGACTATTAAAAAAGAACACTAACAAGAATCTTCAATATAAATAGTTAATAATAGCAAGACATTTAAAAATAAAAACATGTAAGTAAAGAAGCTGAAGTACATGACAATAACAGAGAAAAGTATCAGATAAAAAATAAAAGGATGAAATGAACAAAGCTTCCTGGAGAGTTGGTCATAGTGAGAAATTGTATTGAAGAGAAGATGAACATTTATGATATCTCATGTGGGTAGAGGGGAGAG